TTATCCATGAATTTTCATTTTAATCACCTTTGCCTAAAAGAAATAGTCCATTTACCAAACATTTTTATTAACAGTCGGGGGGCAATGTTAATTAAAGCTTTCAATTCATTTCTCCCACCAATTTCCCTTGTGGCCTGTTCGTGTCATCTATTGGCCAACTTCTCTTGACCAAGAGGCTAATTGGTATTGTCAGCACTGCCGCTGTCATTTAGCCAATATAATATTACTATTTTTTGTTCGCTTGTACCAAAAATTTACATGGATATTTAAGTTTTAAGCAAAAAAAGAAAATGTCAAACTGGATAATTTATATCAAAACGTTTTTTTTTTGCTGTGAATGATTTATTTAAACATACCAAACGTGTGTAAAAACTATTAATTAATTTACAAAACATATGCGAGGCTTTCAGTGCTTGACAACAGAAAATGCTTTTCCCTGCCATGGCGCTCCACACGGCGTATGTGTAATATGTCAGCTGATTTTTTTAAGAACTTTGGATGACAAATGAAATGTAGAATAGCTAATAGGTGTTAAATATTAATGATGGATAATCATTTTTATATAATGAAAAACATTAAAAATTAGTTATTAAATTTAAAAATATTTCTTAAATACCAAAAAATGGATGTAACAGAAATTTGAAAACATTTAAAATTATTTTTCCTTTCAAATTTCTGCTTGTTTACCTTTTGTTCGCACAAATTGGACAAACTTTTGGGTAATTGTACTTCTAATTGCTTTATTACAGCTTTAATTGCTCGTTGTAAAAAACGTTCGCTGTTAATTTACAGCTGTTATTTAACAGCTCAGCAAGCACAAGGCGTAAGCGAGACAGATTGGTGGGTCAAACAGAGAGGGAAACAGAGTCACTTAGTCAGGGCGATTGCTTGGCTTGTTTTTTGTGATGTTTCCTTTGTTGTTTTGTTTTGATTCGCTTTAGCTCCTCCGACTGTTTGTCTATGTTTTCTTTTCTCTCTCTATATATTTCCTATGTCTTCCTTTTCATTCCCCTTGGCTTTCTCTCGGGTTTTTCACTCGTTTCCCGAAACACGGAGAAAGACCCTTTGTAAATTTTAATGGCAAATCTGCTGCCATTTGCGGCACATTTCGCGTACAATTTTCATTTTTGTTATGCCCACATATTTATTTTCATGGCTTGTCCTAGGTGGTTGGGTGATTTAGGGGGTTAGGCGGGGTAGGCTGTGTGCCCGCTTGTCTCGTACACAGAGGGAAAATAAATTAATTTTAAGAAACTTAAAGCACACAATTATTTTTATACAAGAATATATCCTTGAAGTATGCACCAATATCTTATAAAGGAAAAAATCAAATATTCATTTTTATAGCATACTTTTTAAGGCACTTTTTAAGAAATTATAATTCGAAAATATAATTAAAATTAATAATTTTAATATCAACAATTAACAAACAAGAAACCAAACAAAATTTAGAATTTTATAAAAGTAAAGAAAGATTTTCATAGATTAAAAGATCCAACAAAATCTATCTGGTTTTTCTCAGTGCCTACTACATTGCTAAAGGGGGCGCACTTTACATTTGTTTTGTTTATTTTGGCGTGAGCGTTGCCAGCCGCGAGAGCATAGAAGACATGGCCACTGCCAGCAAGGAAAAGAGAGAGCGAGAGAGAGAGAGAGAGGAACAGAGCCAGCCAGTGAGTGTGAATGTGAGTGGGGAGCCGGCAAGAGAAAGAGAGTGAGAGAATGTCGATGGCTCTCCTTATTGTTGCTGCTTTTGCTGCCGCTGTTGCTGGCATGCCATTTCCCGTTATCAGTGGCAGACTTTCTGCCAACCTGCTGTCGCACGCTGTCGGCGTCGACGTCGCTGCCATTGGCTCAGTCGCCGCTCAACGGTGACGCCACAAACGCCGCACAGTGGGTGTAAATTTGAGTTTTTAAAATAATTTTTGCAAATTTTTGACTGCTATAATATAAGCAAGAAAGTGAGAAGTCAAGCAAGAATTTATTAAAATTTTATTAAAGAATATTAATTGCATAGAGTTTATTGATTCGCAATTGTCGTAATGTAGATTTCATCCCATTGTACCTCATTCGGTGTCCCTCATTTTGGATTTTGTGCGCACGCCGTGCCAGCTAATTTTGGATTTTCTAAGCGAGCCGAGTGAAATATTTTTAGCTCTTCGACTGCGACGCAACGGCGAAGTCGACGCTGGCAGCGATGTTAGCATGCAGATTTTTGCAATTGTTTGCCTTATTTGGCCGCTGACGTGATTTTGTTGTTGTTGTTGTTGCTGTATTTTTAGCCAGTTGATTTATCATTCTCATTGCGTTTACGGTGCATTTGTGGCTAATCAGTATTTTGTCTCTTTTCCTCTCGTTGCAGGTGAGTTTTCCCTCTTCCTTCTCCCTCTTATTTTGCCCCATCAACGCATTGTTGTTTCGTGTAAAAATGCATAAAGTGCAGAGATAAAACCGTAAGTTAAGCTAAGTATTTCAGTAAGTATTAAGGAATTGCCATTACTGGAATGTTTGCATCATCGTTGAGTTATTTTGATAAGCTTAAGCCAAGATCACGGGTTACGTATACGCAGCGTAGGACAGCTGGGTGATCGAGTGAGTGTGTATAACAGTTCTCTGAGTGGATTTTCTGGAATGTTCACACATCATAGCTAAATCAGAATGGATTAGTAACTATCTTGGGGTACTAACTTGGGGTTTTAGATGATTTTGTATAACAGTTAGATTTAAGTCGGGTTATTATCTGGAATTTCTAATAGAATTCAGTTATTTTCATGTGAAAATTGGAAAATATGTTAAAAAATTAAGTAAATAATGAATTTTAAACATGTTTAGTGTTCATTTAACAGAGTTTCATTGAATCGTTGATAAGAATATGATAATTATAGAACTTTAAAAGTATAAAAGTAGCCTTTTTGCTTTCAAATTAGTCATTTATTACTTTTCTACTATTTTAATAAGGTTAATTAATTAACTTTAGTTTTTCTCTTTGTGTAGAACAATAATTGTGTCATTTGCGTAAACAAATCAATGTGCGTGTAAGAGCTTGTGTATATGTATGTGTAAGTGAGATATTAAAGGCCAAGTCAAGTCTTCATAGCGCTAGTCCCCCCTCTGCTCAACCTACCATTTGCCCCCTTTTTATGCCACAAAACCAATCCGACTTCTTTTCTCTTATTATTCAGATTTTCCTATGCAACTTTAGTTGTATTTTCTCAGCTTTTCCCCATCCACATTTCCCACCCGCATAGCCCCCGCCGTTTGGCCTGGCTTTGAAGTGTTTACATTTTGCGTTTGAATTATCGCTGTTTTATATGCTGCTTCGCTTTGATTTTCTTCTATTCACTTGTTGTTATTGCCCCGTCTGTGTCTGCTTTACTTATTTTAAGCTAATTTTAGTATTTAGCTTTCGTTTGCATTTCAATTCAATTTGGAAAACGTCGAGGGAAAATGCTTTTTGGGGCTTGGGGTAAGAGCGAGGACTGTACTTTTTATTTTTAATTTCCAATTCGATTTAATTGTTGCTCTTGCTTGCCGTTGCCGTTGTTGTTGTTGCTGTTGTTGTTATTTTTGTTTCGCCTTTTCCGATTTGATTTGCTTGTGAGTGTCTGTGTGTGTGTGTCAGTGTGTGCTTGGCGCCGTTTGGCTTCACTGCCAAATGTTCTGAAAGATAAAATTCTAAGAAAATATTAAAGAATTCTACGGCTTTTTGAGAATTTAAAAGATGTAAGGCTTATGTTTTTATACTTTTAAACAAGTTATACAAAGTTTCCAAAATATTAAAAAAATGGTAATATATTAATCCGAAAAACTGAAATTTCGATAACTTACTGAAGAATCTCCCATAATATGGTATAAATCCAGAAGAAAGGATCTTATTTTCATCATTTTAATAATTATTATAAAAGGATTCCCCTTTTTTGATGTAACTTCATTATATTTACAAATTTGCCTCTGTTAGTTTGGCTTATCTGGTCTTTATCCGTTCTGAAAGATCCCTTCTCTGCTTACTCTCTCTCTGGCTTAGCTCTCTCTCTCTCTCTCTTCCACTCTCTTTCTCCCACTTCACGCAGTTTGCCTTCAGAGAAGCCGAGTTTTGTTTACTGACTTGCTGTTGTTGTTGTTGTTGCTGTCGCAATTGAAGCGCAGTTTCTGGTAGCAGCAGCAACAACACCAACCTATAGATATATACCCATACCCGTAGCTACAACACCGAGGCATGCGAAATCCCTTGAAGCGTTTCAACGTACATTTTTTTTCTACTTTTTTTCCCCCATTTTGCTGCGCTTCGGTTTGTTTGATTTGGCTTGCTCACCTTCGGCTCGACAACAACAACAATATCGAACGGGAGACGTCGACAGAGAGGCAGCGACGGCAACGTCTACGTAGACGTACGACGGACTCTCAAACTGAAACTCAAAACGTACCCGAGGCTCGTGCTGCTGTTTCATTTGAATGGGCACACGACGGAGTTCGAGTTGGATTGGCCACAGTGTGCCGGCCAAACGAAAATTGGAAGCCTTTGGTTCCACTTTGCGAAAACTTTGCAAAAATTCGCTTAACTAAATTGGCAGCTTTAGGGCCATTTCAACATCTTTTTGGATTTAAGTTGAGAGTAGCTGAAGGCGGAAAATCTTGGGGTATGTCTTTTTGGGTTTTAAGCTACTGTGGGGCGTAAAATATTCAAAGGTTTTGGATGCACTTTGAAGATAATTAACAAATGTTTTAAAATTACGAAAAGTTAATTTTGGCGGTTGCTTCAGTTTAAAAGTTAGAAAAATGTAGTTAATTATAAAAAATACTAATTTAAAACTAAATAATTTTGGTTTTTATGGTTGGTTGTGAAGTAAAACTTATTAATATTTTTTTAAATTTATTTTTATGTAAGTGTTTTCTGGCTTCTTGTTTTTCTGAGTGTACTCTGTTAATGTGACTTAAGCTGTAAACTGGCAATGCTTAAAACTGCTTTACTTTTAAGTCAAGAGCAGAATTAAGTTACTAAGATTAGGCTTACAATCCTTAATTTTTGTGGAAGAAGCATTAACAATATGCCTAAATTTTGTTACAACTTTCAATATAATAAATACTAAAGTAATTTTTCAGTCAAAACGTTGCCTAATTTAAAGTTAAATTATATTTAATCGATTAACTAACACCAGTATTGTATCAAATAATCTAAAACTTACCCTTAAATAAGCTTAATTGAAGGGAAAAATATAATTTATATACCCCTTGGAAAACCAATATTCTAGCAAGGACCTGGTGGAAGGGTACTTGTAGCTGAAGTCATTTATCACAGGCTTCTTTTGCAAATACCTTAGCTCCCAGGACCTCATTCTTATGTCCTGTCTCTCTCACTCCATATCCACTCTGTCTGTCCCCCGCCCCCCAACTCCCTTCCATTTTATCCTGTGCCTAGGTCATAAATATCGTATTAAATATTTTCCTTAGAATCGCCTGCGTTGTCGGCGTTTCGCGTTTGCATTAACGCCGAATGTTGTCTGTTTATCTCGCTAGTTATTGTTCGCTGCCCATAGGTGGTGTTTTTCTACCATTTTCCAAAGGGTCTAGGGGGGAGGGTTTCGCCTCTGGTTTGGTGGTTGCAAACTTTTGTGGCATTGCCAGTTGATTGGATTGCCATGAGATGAACTTGGCGTCGCATGTGAGTGTGTGTGTGAGTGTGCCAGTGAGTGTGGCAAGTGATTTATGGGTCCCCCGTGCTGATATGGGATACGCTATATAATGCTATAGATATACAATAGATACAATGTCATTAGCGGCTCTCCATGTTACAATGTTCTGTTTGACAGATGAAAACTCGATGTTTTTCTGTACCAATTTGAATATAAATTTGTTGAAAAAGATTGAAAATTGCCAACAAAACCGGCAAGCCTTGACTTTTTCCATAAAATTCTTACTTACTAAACATTCACAAAACCTAACTAAATTCCAACAATTAAATTTTCCCTCCTGAATTAAGATTTTTGGTAAAAGATAAACGAAAATCAAGATGATACAGCCGGCTGAGCAGATCTTCTCCTGCGGCTTCGAGATTTTTGGAAGAGTTCAGGGCGTGTGCCTACGGAAGCAGACTCGGGATTTGGCCACATTGAATCATGTACGCGGATGGGTGATGAACACGGACGAGGGCACGGTCATAGGGCAGCTGGAGGGAACTTTGCCCAAGGTCAACGAGCTCAAGTTTTGGCTTTTGAATTTTGGAAGTCCGCGGGCGATTATCGACAGGGCGGAGTTCACGCCCACCAAAGAGATAACTTCGCACAACTTTAGTGGCTTCTCGATTCGCTACCATCATGTGCCAGCCCGCAAAGTGGTGACTTAGGAGAGGTTATATATCATGGATATAGTATCGTGGAATATCAAAATTGTAACTGTATGCTATTTTGTTGTATCTTTTTGTTTGGGCCTTTAAATTGAGCTGCCAATATAGAGAGCCAAGCTGCTTCTGGCGAACATCACTTATAAACCTCAAAAGTGAAAAACAGGCTGCCAGCCACTAATTAAGCCGCACAAAGAAATGCTCAGCGCAATTACATAGGGGCTCTGGCACATCCACTATGTATATATATATATAGTTATATATAGATATATAGATAAGCCTATATATATGTGTGAGATGACTGGGTTAGACAGACACCTGCAGCTTTAGCTTTAACTTTAGCTTCAGTTTCAGCTTTGGCTTCGGCTTGGCCACATTTCCAGTTGAGCGACGCCCCAAACTGGCAATGAGTTTTTACGACGACACACAAACAGCAGCCAACAGCCGTGAGTGGAGGCAACAGACAATACACGGTATATGGAATATTTAGAATAATAACAGAGAGCTAAAAATATTTATCATTAGATACAAGGAGGAGCGGAGATTGCAGAAACCTGGAAAAGGTTTTGGCATTTAATCGAGAAAAAAGGGGATTTCACATTAAAAAGAAAAATAGTGAAATCTAGATAAGATAATATACTATTTTTAAATTCAAATAAGCGATTTTCTGAGGCTAAGTCTTTTAGCTTCGACGACATATAAAAATATAAAAAATGTTCTAAGGAAACAAAACCTTAACTTTTCGAGTCTTCACTGTACTTACCAATTTATATTTGACTATTACGTTTAACCTACTCATAGAAGATCCCAATATAGTTCCTTAAAAAAGTCATTAAGAGGATTAACTTATATATAATTCGGTTTCTAAACTTTGTTTGCCTCAAATTCAATCTTGTTTTCCTGCAAAATGGCTTAAAATCGAAATCTGGCAGAAATCGAAGTGCCACATTCACGTCTTATCACATTTTCGAGTTGTCCAAGTGTATCGCAAGTTGGAGCGAGAATTCAGTTGCCCACCGTTGTTGTTGCTTTTTTTTTTTGTTGCTGCTCCCAAATGCCCTCCATGGGTCGCTGACTACCACGACGCCGCTGCCTGTGATGGCGTCGCTGTTGGCGTCTCTGCCGCCGAAGCACTGCGCATAATCACAACAAAATCAAACAAATGAACGGCACTGACACAGCGGCAACACCAACAGCAACAGCAACAGCAACATCATCATCGCAGCAGCAACATCACCGCAACAGCAACAGCCGCGACGAGGAGTGTGCGTGCATGTGAGCTTGTGTTGGCAACTTCGTTGCGTGTGTAACAGGCGCCCAGATTTTTTGAGAGAGCTGACAAAAGAACATTTTCACATGCGGAGTGTAGAGTGTTCCCATTTGATGTTGCTGTTGTTCTTGTTTTTGTTGTTGGGCTTGCGGAATTTTTATAGGTTAAGCTGTAAGCGGTAGGAAGGTAGAACTGGGGGCGTGGCACGGGAGGGGATTCTGTGGCTGTGGCCAGCAAAGAGGGTTGTTGGTTGTGGCCTTAACTAGTTTCAGCCGGCCGGTGTCGTTGCCTTGTAAAGGAGCTTGGGAAAAAAAAAAAGAAAATATGAGATAAAGAGAGAAAGAGAGAAAGAGAGAGAGAGAGGTTTGTACTCACTCGATTTTTGAGTGATTCTTGGAAAACCCAAACCCCCTGCTAAATTTTCCAACCCCCCTGCTCAAATTCCTTTGCGCATTCCTTCGACGTTGACGTCGCTGCCTGTTTCCGGTGTCACTTCCTTATTTAGTTGTTCATGTTGTTTGTTGTTGTTGTTGCTGTTCTTGCCTGGATTTTGGGTAGAATTTCTCGCTGGCATGTCCTTGTAGGCTCAACCCAATTTAACAGCCATCAGCGAATTCAATTTTCCTGAAAGCAAGTCCACCCGAAATGAGGAAAATAACAAAAATAACGATCATTAGTTGGATTATTATTAGTCTATTAGTGGTAATCAAATTTATGGCACAAATACAAATTGAGGGAAAACTTTCATGACGCCAAAATGGAAATTGAAAACACAAGCGCCAAGGGGGGGAGGGATTGCGGTGGCAAAGACAGGTTGTCGCGGCATACATAAATGCAAACACTTTGTGCAAATATTTGTGTCATTAAACAAATGACAAACGAATTGGTTTCAACATGAAAGCCGAGAGAGAGAGACAGGAGAGACAGCCAGAGAAAGAGAGAGAGCAGCTGACATGCAACATGCTAACAGCAACAGCAACAGCAACAGCAGCTTATCAACCGTCTGTTATGGTCTAACAGCAACATCCCCGCAGCAACACCAATACTCTTAACCACCCACACGCACACACACAGATACACTCACTCATCGCAGCGCTGCAACAATGCAAAAAGCAAACTTTCTCGCTGTCGGCGTCGCTGTTGCTGTCGCTGCTGCCTCTGCTGCTGCTGCTGCTGCTGGCGTCACTCGTCGGTCGAAGTCGGTTCGTTTGGTTTCGCTGACAGCGGCTCGTGCCAGTACTCAACCGACTGCCAAACGGCGCACGACAAACCAGCAGCAGCAGCTGAGGCACCACCAGCAACAGCAGCAGCAGCAGCAACAGCAACACCACCAACAGCAGCACTAGCAGCAGCAGCAGTAATAGCCGCACGGCAGCAACAGCAACACTAGCCAAAGAAAAGCTGTGCGTTGTTTTTTTTTGTTTGCGGTTCGTTCGCTCAGCGATAAAAACACAACAGCAACATCAACCCGACAATGGCAATATAACAAAAGAAAACAAATTAAAATGAAATACTAAAAAATGCACTTAAACTTAATGAAGAAATAAAGTGTTCAAGTTATTAAAAGTTTTAGTGTTTTTTTAAAACAAACAAATCAAAAATAAAAAAAAGTGAAAACCAAAAAACGAAACAAATTAGTTAAAAAGTTACACAAAAATTACGCAAATATTCTTATCAAAACTGAGTGATTAAACAAATATATGCTAAAAAAAAACGTTTATAACAAATTCTTGGGAAATGTAAACAGTTTAATTAACAAAATGAAACAAACAAAAAGTGAAAAATAATATTGTTATCAGTTTAGTTAGAAAGGGAAAGATCTATAAAGATCAGGGATTTGTTTTTATAAGAAAACAACTTTTTTAGAAAAGAACTTTTTATATCTTATGATACATTTTATTAAGTCATATCAAGCATATCTTCTACTCAACCCACTGTCCTTTTTATTTATTTGACATTTATATTAAGTTCTTTTCTTTTTTGGGCGAGAAATTGTGCATGGCAAATGCAGATTTATTAGGTGCAGACTTCGTAAGACTCACGTAAGACGTAAAATGGCAGAAATTAAAAATCATAAATCAAAAGTGCTAAATAAATCAGCAGGAAAATTGAGCAAAAAATGTGTGCGTGTGTGTTTCTATACCTCCTCCCCATCACCTTCTTTTCCCGATTAAAATCCATTAATTACATTGCAGTAAATCCGTTTTGGGGATTTTAGCATAATTTTTATTTTTCATAAATTATAGAAAATTAATGTTTAGTTGCTTGTTGAAATATCAAAGAAAATATTTTCGCCAATCCGAATTTATGTTTGATTTCTCCGCGTGACTCTCTATGTGTTAGTGAGTGTGTGTTCTCATGTGTATGTGTGTTACGCATTTTGCTTAGACAAGTGGCCAAGAAGTGAAGGAGGAGCACGGAGAAGGAGATGGTGGAAGAGGAGGTGGAGGTGGAACAGATCTGAGGGAGCAATTGGTCGTTTGTTATGCCCTCACCAAAAAGTGGGGCATGCTCACAATGCCATGAAGTAGAACACGTTTGGAACTGTGTATCTGCACTTACGTATTCATAAAGATGTGCATATTAGTATATGGATATATCTTCTATATAAGCATTAGTTTTGTCTGCCTTGCTTTGGCTTTGGTGCGGAAAAACAATTGGGCTGATTAACGGTTTTGAATTATGCAAATTTGAGTTAGGTATCAGCGGGGGATTTAGTTACAAACTAAATATGGTTATATGTTGCTTTTACATTTAGTTAATTGCTTTGGTTTTTGTTAGGGTTTTTCTTTGATGTTTAGGTTTGGTTAGTTAGTTGAAAAATTTACCACTAGGTGGTGTTTTAGAAATATCTTTGGATATAAAAATAGAGGTTTTTGTTACTAAATGATTTCTATAATCTATATTTGCAGATAATATTTAGGAATATATATTAAGAATAGGTATATAAATTATGAAGTTAACTTCTTGACTTACCAAAGTCATGTTTTTAGCATAGTTTTGAATTTTTTTTTACTACCTTTTCATCATCACCTAAAGAAAACAGAAACTTAAGTGAAAACTTTACAAAATGTATGGAAATTGACATAATTCTATAATTTGTACACATCCTAATCATGTTTTAAATATGACAGGCTAATATTACTTTAAAAAAAGAGAGAAACAAATACAAAAATATTTCAAATTATGAGATTTAGTGATCATATTTTAATAGTTTATATTTAAATATATAGTATCTCTCCTAGAGTATTCCCTAGTTAGTTAAATTCTAGAGAAACTTCCATTGCTTTTGTCTTTTCGTGTATAATTGAATAGTGAGAGACAACAGCATCTCTTGGAATTCTCGGGCGAAACAACAGCAATAGTAATAGCAACAGCAATAGCAACAGCAATAGCAACAACAAGAGCAACAATAACTACAACACCAACAATAAGAGCAACACTAACAGCAACAATTGCCTTAGAGCGAGCAACAAGCAGCAAACTGAAACCAAACCGAGAAATCTGGCTTAGCCTTTTGGCGTTACGGAAATTGACGCTCTGCCACTGGCTCTGTCAGCGTCGCTGCCTTTGCTGCGACTACATTAATCTTACTTTTATTGCTCTCTCTATCTCTCTCTCTCTCTCTGTCTCAGTCTCTGTATGTTGTTACTGTTGTTTAATTAATTTTCGGTAAACATAATTTCCCATTGGGTTTTGTGAGAGCCAGCTCAGTTAAATGAGTTGAATAATGATTTATAATTCACTTCATAGTTTTTCTTTTATTTTTTTTCGCCTGCCACCACCCACTTTTTAATAATGTGCAAAAAATTAATAGTATGGAAAATGTAATGCGAGTAAGTCGAAAGGGGGTTGGTTGAGGAAAA